TAATATTTTAATATGTTTTCGAAATTTGCATCAACTTTTTACAAACGATGGATGCGGGTTAATTGACGCATTCAATTTACGCACGTACAAATGCGAATTGTTGTTGTTGTAGCAGCATACAAGTTCCCCAAAGGGTTTTTGGGGAGTGTTGCTAGAGTGACAGTCCTTGACCAGATATAAATCTGGGTCGTTCCGGTTACGTAGACCCGACTGTCGTGGGAACGTACAAATGCGAGTGCTTGGCTTTAGCTTTAATTGAATCATTTACACGCGTATCGATTGCAAACCAAACAAGTGGTTCATCCTCCTTATAATTTTTTAACGACTTAATAAAATAATGTTTTGTAAATAACATATTTGATTTCCCGGGAATTGTACATACATTTACATAGTCGTTAGCAATAATGTTTAATAGGCAATTCGCATTAATTTTTTTAGAACAATCAATTTTAAATAATGTAGAGAAGCAATATTTTCTCGGAAGAACTTTGTGTATAGAAATGCAAATATGCTTACATAATTTCTATGTTTTCTTTTAACTTCTTGCTAATACAATATTTATTTTATTATTTTTCTTTTACGATACCTAAACAAATACATTGCAGATCTACATACATCCATACATATTTACTTAACCATAAAAGCAGTTTTAACAAAAGGAAGTACATTGCACTTACAAGCCTAGTATCCAGTTCTTCCAAAGAGCGATCATTGTGGAATTTTTGAAAGATGGCCCGCGCAAGGGTTCCTCGCGGACGATAACAAGTCATTTTAATAAATTAAATTGTATTAGTATGTATGAAAGAATGACCGGAAATGTGTGCGGCTTTCAGCGTTGGTTAGTATTGATTTTTTCAGAATCAATTTGTTGCCATTTGAAACTTAGTTTAAGACAACTCTTAAAATTATTTAATCCTACCAACCATATTTCACTGTGCTTTATTTTAAACTTCCATAAAAAAATGATAAACTGGTGCATTTAATGATAACACAGTTTTTAAATGATGACAGAAACAAGTTGAGAAATCGCCACAGGGTGATACGTAAGAACTTGAAATATAATTTTTTTGGGAAAAGCCTGGAAATGACCTCAGCACCTCATTAGTATAAATATTTGGGGTGTTCACAGTTCGTTCCAAATTGTGTCTGAAAATGTAGACGTCTACATTTTGAGACATCTTTAGCATCAAACTGTGAGCACCCCTTTCTAGCAGTCGTCGCAAAATCGTCTCAAAACTTTGCTGGTGTTGCCAGACATTTCCTCTTTGCGTGCATTTTTTATATATTGCCTTTCGATTTTGTTTCTGAAAAA